CTCCCCTGCCGGAGGCGGCCCCATCTGCTAGCCTAGCTCAGATTGCAGGACTCCCAGCTCGGCTGTGGCCCCAGGCAGTGTAAGGCGATCTGGCTGCCCACAGGGCTGCGGCCCTCACAGCAGCTGAGCCAGATGGGCCAGGGAGCCAGCGAGGACACAGCGAGGCCTGGACACAAGACGCAGGGGAGGCGAACGTGGCTGCAGCGCCCGCTTTTCCCATATTGGCACTGCACATGATTGCTCAGAGCGAAGAGACACAAGCAAAAATGTGCTAGTGCCAAAATCGGCCAAGCAGATGGTACTGGCGTGGGCCCTCTGGGGACAGGCTGGAGGGCTCTCAGCATCCCAGACCCCTGGAAGCAGCCCGTTTCCGACGTCCAGGCCCACTCGGGGGCTAGAAAGGGTGAGGTGCTCCTGAGACACTCGCGGATCTGTCTCTGCTCTGTTTATGGCCCTTCGGTAATTCACTGACCGAGACTGTTCACAGTGAATTCTACCAGTGCCATACACAGAACAGGAGTCGCGCTCTCCGGCCTTCGGACCCTGCAGAGAGACTCCCACCTGGCTCCCAGAGGCTCTCCTCACCCCACCCCTTCACAAGCTTGACATGCCTTGTCTCAGCCCAAGATGACCTTTGGGAGACAGTGACAGTGGGAAAGAAGGGCTGATCTCCTGGCTTTGGAGACGGTGGGCAGAGATGTCCATTTCAAGGTGTTTCTGATCTCAACCTTGAGGCCCACCAGTCCCGTCCACCCTTGCTCAGACTGAGAATGGAGTAAATCCAGCTCAGAGTGACAAAGAGCTAGCCAGATCCACCTCTCTGCCTATCATGCCAGGCCCCAAGTAGACAGTGACCAGTGGGACTTCCAGGGTGCCTCTTCTGGCCTCTGAGCAGACACCATCAGTCCTGCTCCAAGATGCCCTGGTCTCCACCATTCCCCATCCCCCAGCCAGCCAGCCCTGTGGCAGAAACGGAGCTCCAGGGGGCAAACCGAACCTGCCGCTCCCCGAAATCTCATCCCGAACCAGATAAAACTGTGAACCGCCCAGGCTGGGCATCTCTGCTGCAGGCCTGCGGCCAGGACAGGAAGGCAGGTGGGCAGGAAGTCTCGTGGCCAAGGAGGCAGCATGGAGGGAGCTGAGGCACCGCTGCCATCCAGCCAGGAGAGTGGCTTCTGCTGGCTCTGAGGGGACCGCAGAGGAAAGCAGAGGTAGGGAGGCAAGGGAGGTGCCAGAAAAGGTTGCATCAGTGGTTGCCAGAGTGGCTGCCTCGAGAGAAGTCACCATGGTGGCTCCTGCCTCTGGTGCCAAGCGGCCTGGGGAAGGAGGGAGAGAGTCTGTCTCAGGGGAGATGGTGTCCAGGGCAGGAGGGCTGGGGACTCCGGCCTACTTACTCCAGGCCAACCTGGAGCCCAGGGGTCAAGATAGCTAGAAAAGCACCCTGAAAGGGTCAGAGAGAGCACCCCTGGCCCAGAAACTATGAAAACCCCTTGATGATGCTTCTCTCCGTGACCTCAGGGCTGCCTGGAGCCTGGCTGCCTCTCGCACCTCTGCCAAATCCTCACCCACTCTGCCATCATCACATGTGCCCAAGGGACCCAAATCGCTGCTCAATGCACCCCCCTCCCTAATCTGCGAAGACTCCTGTCCTGCTTCAGCACATGCCCACTGCTGGGCTCTGATCTTCCAGAGGCCAACAGTGGGATGGAGGTCTTGGGAAGTCACTCCCTGGCATTCTGCCTCAGTTTCCCCCACTACGACTCTGAACGCAGCTGAAGAAAAGGAGAAGAGACAGACTATCTCCCAGCCTGGGTGGTAGGAGCCTTAGCAAAGGCTGTGGTCCAGTGGAGGTAGTTAGATATCCACAGAGCTCAGGCAATAACCATCGGACTCACCCAAAGGGGCCCTTGAAATGCAGATTATGGGCCCACCCCAAAATCTGCATTTTAATTGGTACCCAGGCAATTCTGCTGGTGGGGGGTGGGGGTGCACATCATCCTTTGAGAAGTGTCTGAGAACTCTTCCCAAAGCCTCCACTATAAGCAATGAGAAGCCTTACTGGGGTACTTAAACAGAACTCTAAATTTCTTTTTCTTTTCTTTGGGGGCGGGGGGAGCAATACCGCACTAGCCTAGCAATAGGCAACCAAGGAGCAGGCGGGGGCCTGAGAAGAGAGGGCTGTAGTTACAGATTCTGTTCTCCCCAGCCCTGGAAATAAGCGAGACCACAGGTAAAGAGAGCCTTGTAACAGGTCGCCAGGGGCTTGGGTGCTCCTTCTGACTAATTGTGGCATCTCTGTGGGGACACTTGGCCTGTTTTCCCCATTTTTTGCAATTGACTTGGGAGAGTGCAGAGAATAGCTTACAAGGCCAAATCCCCTTTCAGCCTCCTGTTCTCGTGGCAAAGCTGGGCGAGGCTCCTCCCCTGCGCCTGCCTCACCCCTGCGAACGCAAATGCGGCAAGACCCAGTGCCGCAGTGCCGGGCGGCGCCACACCCGCCTCCCCCGCCGTGATCCATCCCAGAGCCCAGCCGCACCTCTTCGACCTCAGTCCGGGCGGCCTCAGGCCGGACCCTAGGGAAGTAAGGTCACCTCGCTCTCCCAAAATGGGAAGCAAGGAGAGGTGGGAGGGCATAAGCAGCAAAAGCCTCATTAGAAAGGTCAAAATGGAAAACTTGAGGCCTATGGCTCAAGGTGAGTCCTCCGAGTAACCTCCTCTGCCCTTAGGTGTGTGGGGGGACGTGACCCTGACCTTGAGATCCAAAGGCACAGAAACTCACTCTGGGAGCGGGAAGATGACGGCAAGGCTGTGGAGCAGGATGGTCCCCGTCTCCCACCCTGGCCTGGAGTGATCTCCAGGCAAAGAAAAGAGCATCCGAGCTGGTGTGCACCTACCGGAGACCCGACCTGCAGGCCAGGGTGGGGAGGCCAACAGACAGTGCCACCAAAGCACCCAGAGTACTTGAGGGTCTCACGGGGTGTGTGTGTGTGTGTGTGTGTGTGTGTGTGTGTGTGTGTGTGTGTGTGTTTCCTACACATCCTACTGACCGCCACTCCTAAACTTTGCTAAAGACCATCTTCAGACACCACTGAGTCTCGCTTCCTCTAGAGGTTTCCCTCCCTCCCCGCATTCACCCAGGCACACAGGGTAGGTCCTGTGCTCCCTTCCAGCGCTGGGGGAGTCCCTAGAGGTGAGCCACTGGGACCCGAGGCCCTAAGTACTCTGAGATCCGGGATTTTTCACCATCAGAGGCCCGGCGGCTCGCCCCTTGGCATCTGCGCAACGATTCCTGAGTCCAGGATTCGAGCTGCTCCACCCAAGCCCAGCCCAGTCCTGGTCCCTCTGGTATACATCGAATATCCCCGATGACCAAAGGGCTGGAGGCTGGGGGAGGTTGGGGCTCTCGGACATGCCCAGGGCGTGGTGCCTGCCTCCCTGTCTCCTCACGAGGTTCCGGCGGAGGGGCCCACAGCTTTTTCAACGAGGCCCTAGTCGCCACGCAGCCACCGTCAACGCGGTGACTGGAGCTGTGCGGGCTCAGGACAGGAGCCACTGGGCCCCCTTAATCCGCCTTGTACGGGAAAAGGAATAAACGAAATTCTCACAAGTGAGAATGGTACCCTGGAATTTTTTCTTCTTTGCATAAGGCCGACTTCAGAGGCCCCCCATTCCCCTCCCAGGAACAGGGCCAGGTCATAGAGTGCATAAAGGGGCGACCATGCAGCGGAGGCTGCAGCTCCGCGCCCAGGAGCCTCGCGGGGAATGCACTGGCCAGTCGCGGCTGAGAGCTGAGTGTGGGGCCACCTTCCCTTGGGGCTGCTCAGTCCGCAGTCAGGACAGATTTCTTGGAAGGCTTAGCCTCGACTCGGAGACCTGCCGATCTGGTGCCCGGCGGGCTCACTGCGGGACAGGAAGAGGGTGGTGCGCACCTGTGAAACCCAGTGACACCGCCAGAGGACCAGGGGCGTCGCGTAGACATCCGCCACCTGGCCCCCAGGAGGAAAATCGGACTTTTAATCCTCAAGAGATTTGCGAAGCCCGGCAAAACGCAGAGAGCTGGATTCTCACCTAACGAATGGGGGCGGGGAGGTTGATTAGGGCTGCCGGCTTCTAATCGCTCTGAGCCAGTATTAGCACCCCCAGCCCCCGGCGGGTACGTCTATACGAAGTGTGGGGGAGGCCAGGGACTGGGGGGAAGGGAAAGCGAATGTCTTAGCCTGGAAGGCTCCGCGCAATCGAGCGATCCCTGACTCACGGCCCAGTTCCTAGGATGCGCGCACCGGTGAGGCGTCCGGGGCGCGCCGTCCAGCCGCCGAACCCAGAGCGGAGCCCAGAGGGGCGCAGTGCTCGCGAGCGCTAACCGGAATGGGGGTCGGGGCGTGGAGCGGGTCTCAGCTGCGCGCTCCCAGGCTCCAGTAAGGGCGGCGGCGAAGCAGAGCCGATCTGGAGGTCTGAGAACTGCTTCCCCATCCCCTGCCGAGACTGGGGTGGGGGGCCGTTCTGGGGACACAGAATCGGTAAAGACCCGCCAGAAAGCCCTGAGGGAGCTTCAGATACTAGCTAGCCCTTGGAGCAGGACCTTCCCAGCCCTAGTCGCCGCCCGCCTCGCAGCCCTGCGCTTCCACCTGAGCCCACTAGGGCGGCGAAACGCCGGCGCGACCCCCGGTCGATTCCCCAGGGAGGTGCCAAGGCCCGCGCGATACGCACCTCACCAAGCACAATCGAAAGCACTGAAATCGCGCGGCGGTTCGGGCTGGGGCACAGTGCTGGGCGCACAAGTCTCCACGGGGGGCCCCAGGATCACAGAGCCGCGTGGGCGCCTCGGCCGGAAGGCTGCACTGCCGCGTCATCCCCGAAGGCCGGCCGCGCGGAGCAGACCCCGCCTGCCCGGCGGCCCGCCCGCAACTCCGGTTCAAGCACGGCTCGCCCCGGGGCGCCCGCCTCCACCTTCTCTACGCCGCCCGGCTCTGGCTCCACCTGGCCCCGCCCCAGACACTCACCTGCGCCGGCTCCGGGCTGGGCGCACCGCCGCCTCCCAGCTCCGCGCGTAGTCCACCCGGGAGAAACAAGGCATAAAGGGCCTTCGTTCGGAGCGGGCCGGATGGACGGAACCTGAGGCGCCTCCGGGCCGGGCTGAGGGCGGCGCCCCGAACCTCCACAGCGCGACGCGGGAGGAGGCGGCGCCCGAGCGCGGAGCCCGGCGGGGGAACAAAGAGGACCCAGGATGGGGCCGCGCGCTTCCTGGGTGTCGGGTGACAGGTCTGCTGGGGGAGGCCCCTGCCGGGCCACCTGAGGAGGAGCCACCTCCGCGAGGCAGGCAGAGTAGAGCAGGAGAGGCAAGGGGTCGGGAGCCCGAGGAAAAGGGTTCGCGAGGTGCCTCAGACGGCGCGGCCGTGGAGAGGCCCGCGGATTCCGGCGCGGAGGTGCAGTCTCCACCGAGTGCAGGGATAATGACTCTGGGAGGGTTTACCGCCCCTGAGCCCCGCCCGCCCCCCGCGCCGCACCATTGGCTCAGGTGCCGAGAGGCAGGGGAGGGGCAGGGGGCGGGCCTGGGATGATTCACCTTGAATGTGGCTGGGGTTGGTGCACCGCGCAGGACACGCCCGGCGGGGACTGCGGAGACGCTGGGAGCCCCGCCTGCTCGCCCTCCCCTGCCGGGTCCTGCCCCAAGGGGTCTCGCCGCCCGCCTTGTGTCCCTGCCTCCTACCCTCAGGCTAGGGTGCTGCTGGCCGAGGTGCGCCCCGACGCCCTGCCATCCCACCGCTCTCCGAGCCCGGAGCTAGCCGAGGTGTGTGTAGCGCAGCGTGCTTGGAAATCCGATCCTGGGCTGGGGGAGGGGAAGTGTGTTTGGAGCTAAAACGCACTCTGGGGCCACTTAGACGGATCTCCGCTGTCTTTCCGGGAGAAAGGTGCGCAAGGCTGAGTTGTCTCAGTGGGCCAGCCCCGACCCGGGGGAGCAGGGCTGGAGTGGGGAAGAAGGACTCTCCGCCATGTCTTCACCCACCTACGCTCGCTCAGCTCGGCGGCCTCACAGGTGTCTGGCCACGGCCGCCGCTGGGAACAAAGGCTGCCTGTCCGGGAAGGGAGAGGGGGAGGGGAGCCGCCCCCAGACCCGTTCCCATCTCCCTTCCCCCCACTGCGGCAGTGGTTCCCCCGGGAGCGTGAGGGGCGGGCCAAGACTGGGGCGCGGACACGGATTAGATCCTTTACAGCGGTCCTTGCTCGGATACCACCCCGAGTATTCCGAGAGGCGGGGCAGGGGGGTAGGAGACTCCCAGGCTGTCAGCGTTGGGGTGGCCTCTTCCTCCTTCCCCAGTATCCTGAGCGTGCCCTCCCCCTGCTGCTTTGGGCGCCCTTCCCAGTCCCGGCCCCGCCTGACCGCCCCAGACGGCAACCACAGTTCAAAACCAGATTAAAATAAAACGTTAATCCTTCCTCCTCCCTTTTAGCTTCTAGTCCTCCCAACCGATCCCCGTAGGTCTGGCGGTCGAGAAGCTCTAAAAAGGAAGGTGCTTAGCCGATGCCCCCACCAAATTTGAAGGCCTCTTGTATTAAGACTGAAGACCGTTAGCACCCTGTTCTGCGCGAAGGAAGGGAGTAGGCAGCGGTGATTGGGGGAGGGGCTCTATAGTTCCCATCCGCGTAGCTGCGGAGCCGAGACCCGCGGAGAGATGGTGCGGATATGAACTCATCCGTAGGTCCGATTCCTAGGCGGGGTGTGTTCCGCCCCTGGATGTCGCAGCCCGAGGAGGAGGCAAAACTCTCACCCCAGGGCGAATTGACTGGCGAGTCGCGGGGCCTTGGTGTCCCTCTCGACGCAGCCAGATTGAGGCGAGGTGCGCCAGGCCCCGGACGGGGGAGATCCTGGGCAAGGCACTGGGCCCAACAGATCCAAGGGGTGGGAGGTGGGGGGGGGGTCCACATTAACCCCTCCCGGGCCCGCACACTTTCCCAGACCAGCCAGGTCGCTCTGAACTTCCCTGGCTGCATCCCCACACGGGCCCTACCTGGTCCCCGAGGGCCGTGGGATGCTGGGTGGTAGGGGCGCGGTGTGCCAGGGACTGCTAAGCTGCGAGTGGCCGCCGCGGCCTGCGGCACCCCCTTTATAGCGCGTGCTCCGCCCCCGTGCACAGCGCGCCCCGCCCGGGCCCATTCACCTGCTGTTGAGAACCAGATACCGCACAGCGCAAAGCGAGCCATCGGGCCGCGGGGTCCGGCCGTCGGTGCTGGCGGGGCGGGGGCGCCGCGGAGACAGATCCAGTTTCCACCTTTTCTTAAATGCGCTGCTGAAAGTCGAGACGGCCCCAGCCAGCGTGGCTTTCTCCTCCCTTGGCTCCCCGCGCACCCCGACGCCCCCAACCCCACTCCGGGAGGGGCCGCGAAATTGCACCCGCAAAAGCCTCATGCATATTTTAGGGAGCAGGCCCGGCCGGTAACCCGAGCTGGACTCGAATGGGAAGGGGGCAGTCTCTGGGGACCTGATATCCCCGATCTCTTTCGGCTCCGGGCACAGGCGGGGGAGGAGGTGGCTCGGATCGACCCCAGGTCCTCACTTTGCTGCCCCGTCCTGTGCACCCTACGGCCGCCTGCATCTTGCCCTCCTTCCGCAGGTCGCACGTCTGTCTGCCCCTCAGAGGAACCCTCCTCCACCTAGGGAGACCCTTTCCACCTCGCCACCAACATCCCATTCTGCCCGGAGCCTTGCGTCCGTGACGCATAGTTTTGGGTTCCTGGACCCTTGCGTCAGGCTTAGGAAGGACACCTAAACCTTTAGGAAGGACTGCCTTGCCTACTTCAACCTAGAAGACTCGGCGCCCCTCGCTCCGTCCCCGGACTCGGCCAGTCTCGCTCTTGGTGTCTCGGCTTGTCTCTCTAGCCATCTTAGTTCTTTCCTGGCCTCTGTCCCACTCTGCTTCCCTGACTGCCATCCTCGCCCTCTCCACTGCAGTCCCGGTTGTGCTGAAGATGCCCTCGGTCTCCCTTCCCATGTCACGCGGCAGGGCTGGGGGAAGGGGTATCTGGGGTGCAGACATCCACGACCCACAGACCCGCCCAGGCGGCGACAGTTCTGCCATTGGCCTCGCTCAGGCTGATTGGGTCCCCGCGCTGACCCGGGCCCTCGGCCACACGATACTCGTAGCTAGCATTCCCCCGGGAGACAGAGATGCGGGTTCGGGTCCTCCTGCGCTCCAGTTACCAGCTGCTGCACGATCTCCAGCGATGCACTTCACCTCTCAGAGCCTCAGTGGCCCCTTTTGCAAAATGGATCGAATGACTCCCATCTCGGGAGGGTAAAGAGAATGCACGGGTGGGATCGTGTCTATTTCGTGACCTTCGTCGTTCTCTGCAAACTGCAGAACCCGCGTTATCAGTGCTGTGGACCCTGTACCCTCGCCCCCGTGATGCTTTCCCGGGACCCGCCCCCGGCCGCTGTATTTCTGGCTCTGCCGCTGGAGGTCTTCCCACAAGCACCCCACCCCCACGCCCCACTGCAGCCATGTGCTAGGGGCTCCCGGCTGCTGGCGGAGCCGCAGCGCAGTTTTTCGATCTTGGCCCAGGCCCAAGCCCTCGGGGCTTTGTTCTAGAATCTGGATGTGCATTGGTCCACAATATCAGTAGTGTTGGCAACTCAACTAATCCCCCCGACTTTTTTCGAAAACCTGTGTTGGTGCGTCTGTACGTTTATCTTTCAGCGGTGCACCGTCTCTATCGTTCTCAAAGGGCCAGGAACCCTGAGATTTGGCTCCGGTTGTGGGGAGCCCGGTTGTAGGGGACGATGGGGGTCGGGGGGCGCAGAGACAAACAAATAGCCATCCTGTCTGAGGACTCTAATCAGCTCTTAAAAAAGAGTGGGAAAATGTGGCCGTTACATATCCTGGGAAAATATCCCGGACTTTAAGTGTAAAACGCAAAAGACAGACACATGGGCTTCCGTTTGTGTAAAAACATAAAGGAGGTGTGTGTCTAGGTGTCAGTATTTTTGTGAACAAAACGTCTCCCACCGGAGACTCAAGACACAGGAAACAGGGGTGGCTTCCCTGTAGGAGAACTGGGGGTCAGAGAGCAAGAAACTCTTTTTTCTGAACGTCTTTCTGGACTGTTTGAAGTGTGTGTGTTTATTTACCGTCTGCTTGCATTAAATTTTCAATTTATAAAAGAAAATGCAGGAATTGTTTTTTTAAAAAAATCTGATTCGCGATGCTGAAGCCTGGAGAAATCGAATCAGAGAGGGTGAGCCAGCCTAAGCGGACAGAAGCTGCGTGCGGCGTGGGGGGAGGGGGTGGGAGTGGAGTCGGGGGAGTAGAGGGGTGCGGGAGGGCAGCGGTGCACCACGCAGGGTTCTTCGGCTCCCGGTGGGCGCGGGCCCAGAACGCGTGCTCAGAGCGAGAGGTACCAAGGAGAGAAGGAAGGGCGCGCGGCCGGTGCTTTTATGCAACATGGTCTCCTACCTTCTCCCACCAGGCGACAGACACCCGGACTGAGTTTTGTCCATGGGGCAGTTGAGGTTTGAGCGCCCACCCCAGAGTGTCTGTGACCCGATCAGTGGAGAAGGCTCCTGGCGGGGATAGGGGACTGAGCACTGGTTGAGGGCTCAGGGCGTGGGATCGAGTCCCGCCTCGGTTTCCTCCTCTGTAGCAAAAACTGAGAACACTGGTCGCGCATCCTTATAAAGGAGGCAGGGAGGAAACGGCGCGTGGTCCCTGGAGAGGAGCTCTGTCGGCCAAAGCTCCGCCGGGGATCACTCCAGATCTAAGACCCTAGCTTTCCAATCCGCACCTGGTAGGGCCCTCGCGGCGGACCCCGACAGTCCCGCATCCACTGCACCCTGACGCGGAGCCTGCCAACCAGGCACCACTTGCGGGGAGCCCGGCTCCCAGCCCCAAGGCGGAGGTGATGGCTCCAGGGCTCCAGGCCTTGGAACCCTAAGGTTCTAAGCAGAGACTGGGTCTGCAGTTGGTGGAGGAGAGGACCGAGATTTGGTTTTGGTCACGGGCCATGTTTCATTTCCTGTGTCCAAAGCAGAGTTTAGCTGAAAATTTTAGCCTCCAAACCAGCAAACGCTTTTATTTCTGTTTTGAGATGCTTCAAAGAGTTAGGGCTTAATTGTCTCAAATTAGAATAGTCTGTATTTGTAATCACTTAACAGGTATTTTTGTTGGGCGCCTGCCTGACCTTCCTGAGCCTCGGTTTCTTCATCTGCAAATTGGGAGCTTGTCCAAGTCAGAGGACTGTTGGGGGAATCGAATAATGAAACGTTTTTGTAAGCCCATCGAGAACAGCAAAGTGCTTGCTCAGGAGACAGTTCTTATTAGTCTTGCTGTCGCCATCCAATTTCGAGGAGGTCAAGTGGTCTACCTTTCTTGACTGAGGACTCAAGCGCCCGCGCGGGCGTGGAGCAGTCTTTTCCCTGCTCCCCGGCACGGATGCATATGGAGATGCGTTCGGTTCCTGCGGCTTCGCGTCCCTTCCCCGCTCGCTCCTAGCGCGCGCACCTCCCGGAGCTCACCGACTGTGCGCTGCGCCCGCTGTGCTCATCTCTCCAAGGATGCCTTGGAGCCCCGCGCCCTGCAGGCCCGGGTTCCGGTTCCTTTCAGCCTCCATGTCTTCGCGAGTGTCCCCTCTCGCTGTCTGCCTTGGAGTCCATCTGGTTTACCCCACGTCCCCTACGACCCTCCCAGAGGTTTGTGTGATCAAACACCTTGTTTTCCACAGGAGACATCAGAGGCCCACCTAGGCCCCGAATTGAGGCCAGAGCCCGAACCAGAACCCAGTTCTCCTGCCTGGAGTTTATCCGCTAGGCTGGGTGCGAGTGTCCAGAGAGAATTTTTTTTTAGGGGCAGGGATGTGAAAAAGGAATGCTGAGGGACCCCTTGGAGTGGGGCCCCAGGAGCTCCTGGCCTCAGAAACGTCCATGTCCTCTGGGTGGGCTCCGGTTTCTAGATCAGTAGGTCTCTGAGCCTAGGGTGGGAGGGGACCTCAGGAACTACAGAGATTTTCTTGGGGACGAACTTGCGGTTTTGTTGTAAAACAACTGCTGGGATGCCTAGAAGCTGGGTCATCTGGGGGCCCTGGCTGCAAGCTGACAGCGTCTCCTGCTCCACTGGGAGAGATGCACGGGCACAGGGTTGAGACTAGGCAAGCGCAGGGGAGAGGAGGGGCTGTGGGGGGTGGAGGACCAGCGGTTAGGGTGCGGATGGGGGGACTGAAACAATCGGGAATTCCTGAGCTTTTTGATCTCTCCTGGAGTCTGCTCTTCACAAAGCTCCGCCAGCACACGCTCCTGCCCCATGCTATGGGAACCGGCTCCGCTTACCTTCTTGAAACGGTCGGCAGCAGAGGGAAGGACTGGCCAAGGTGGTGGGTCGTTGCAGCTGGCACAGCAACTGGGAGCCCTGCCATGAATGCAGAGGGGTCCCAATGGTAGGAAGCAGGCTTCGGCTTGTGTCAAGGATGGGGAGCTGTTGTGAGCCCCCTGTACAGCTCCTAGCACCCTGGGGTAGGCTGGATTGGGGGGATGACCTGCCCAGGCCTTCAGCACTAGTCCTGGATAACATAAAATCCAAGCTCCAGGAGTTCAAGGGCCACACTTGTTCACCGCTGTATCCTCATGCTCAGCTCTTGGAAAGTGATCCATAAATATGTGTTTGAGTCCCTACGTGAGCAGGAGTGCAGTCACAACCAGGTTTGCACAGGATTCCCTCTGCAGCACGGTAAGAGCAGAGGTGCCAGGCAGCAGAACGGGGGACCAGAACCTGTTCCAGGTGTCTATCACAGCCACGGGCTCTGTCACCACTTTTTTTTTTTTTTTTAGCAGGGGCCAAAGTCATTTCAAGGGAGGCAGAAACTGCTCACGATGACTTTCCGGGAGGCTTCCATCTTCCCATCTTCCCCTCTCATGTGGACGAGTCACTTCCCCCTGTGGGCTTTAGTTTCCTCATTCGTAAAGCGAGAGAACTGGAAGGAAATCTGAGAGCTGAGTCTGCTTTTCCAAAGCCGATCTGAAAACGCTGTTCCTTTCTTCTTTCATCCTTCATTTTTCCTGTACAAGATATGCTGAGGAAATGTGATGTAGCCACAGAAATGGAGACAGAAGCACTGGGCTGGACTTGGACCAGGAGAACCCCACCGTGCTAGATTCAAAGCCCCCACTGTGTGCTGCACTGAGTCAGCCTGCAGGAGTCTCAGGTTGCTTCTGGGTGTCACATGCTCCTACTGGTTAAATTAGCACATGGTGCCCCAGGAACCGAATCATCAAGTTCCGGATTATAAACCAGACTGGGCCTTTGAGGAGCTCACTTTCTCTGAGACAAGAGGATGAATGCTGGGTATCGCTCCAACTTTCACTTCAGAGAAAACAAAGCTAGTCTGAAACTCTGGGTGGGGTAAGGTGGTCTGAGATTACAGTCAACAGACTCAGCAAACCCATCTCGACAAGGTTCCTCATTCTGTCTTATTTATGTGCCGAGCGGTCTGTGCACAGAAACCCCATAGGGGTGTCAGGAGGAGTAGGTGAGCCAGAGCTGGCTAGCCGGGAGCCCGCTCCCCCTCCCAGGGTGCTCAGACCCTGCCTTTACTTTGGACATCCCCTGGGGTGCAGGCCTTGTGCTCCCTCCCCTCCTGTTTTGGAGCTAGGAAGCTGCTCCTCCCTACCCCCCAGGTCCCACTTCATTGGGGCCCCCTCATGCACCCAAGCCTCAGCCTTAGACTGACCTGCCAGCTGATGGGGGTCTCTTTAAAAAATTGATTTCCACAAGTCCCTAAAGTGTTGCCTCGGCAGTAAATCTCCTGCCACCCGGGCTCTCTGCCCCATGAATGATTTAGCGCCTCAGAGGGCTGGGAAGCGTCTTCCTGTGCACTCGGAGGCCTGCAGCTGTGACATCACTATCCCTGCTGGTGATGGATGGTCTCTTCTGCCCTAATGGGAGGCGAGAGCCGGCTGGGAGGGGATCAGGCCATGGAAGTAAGTACCCATCTGGCTCCACAGACTTCTGGCTGGTGGTCTTACTGACAGACCAGCCAGCTAATTGCACTCCAAGGTACCTAGAGAAAGGGCCTGAGTCTATCTCTCTGTCCCCAGCCCAGAGGGACCCAGACTCATTTCAGTGTGGGGTCTGTCTTTCCAGTTCTTAAAGCACTCCAGAGAAAGAATTATATATACCAAATGCCCTCTCCCCCTGCTCCGACTTTACCACACACTCTCACACTCATACACTCACCCACATGGATATGCACACCCATGTCCACTTTCTCAAGAACCTTCTCAGGAAGGTCATCATTATGTCCCACCTACATCTTTCCTGCTACCAATGAAAACCATTTCCCTCTGAATCCATTTGGAACCAACAGAGAATAGCTGGTTATTATCTGCCATACGCTAACCCTCCAAGCACGCATGGTGAAGGATGACATGTTCTCGGTCCCTCCCTGTCCTCACAGCCCTCCCATCATCTTTCCTTTGAACTTTAGTGACTCAAGTCCTCTCAGTTCCACCAGCCTTTAGGGGGAAAAAACACAAAGTTTTTGTCAGTCAGCATCCATAGGTTACAGACATCCTCAGGCAGAGGGCAGAAGGTGGAGAGGTTGGCACCTGCCCAGACTT